ACAATGGTCTGACCTTCCTATCGGCGGCGAGATACCGGTGGTCACAGTACCAGTGAAGTCAGAGAGCACTAAGTCCAGGGTGTTGAGACCTCGAGTTGGTTCTTGGACATGCTGCATGAGGCTGTGGGCAGCGCTTAGTTCCTCCATGTACTCCCCTGTATGTATGAAAATAACGTATGAACTGCACGGAATTTTCATACGTGAAAATCAGAGCTGTTGGGTTTCGCTCTACGTGATTTCTCCACGACTGCTCAACATGCGTTGTTGCTTTGGAGACGCGTTGGCTGCATGCGCCCACCGTATGCACCATGAACCGAAGCCGCGTTTTCCATGATATTTTGCACGTGGTGTACGGTGTGTGTACCTTGTGTTTCGCGCGGCTTGAATGTTGCCATGGACAAATGCGGAAAATGCGAAAATATATTTCAAAAAGTCCTACGGAGGACCCAACGTAGGAAAGAGCTTTCCTACGGAAATCCGTAGAGAGATTTACGTATGAAAGTTGCCCTCGCTCCCCGGCGCGTACGACATACGGATTTTCATACGTAATTACGTAGAGCGAAACCTCCCTATTGCCTCAGTATGTGGGTGCATAGCAACCCACTCGTGTCGTATGCAGGGGTGACTTTTACTTCGCCACCAGTTGTAACCCCGCCCCCAGCAGTCCGTGCGCCAAATTCAAAAAAGTCGTCTAGAAGTTGCACTTTTATTTGCAACCGCGGGAAATTTGAGAGGTCTGGAGAAGAAAATTCTCAATGGGACTCAAAATTGACAAACAAGACGACGACCAGCGCTCGAGCATAGTACCTTTTCGCCATTCCTTCGTGCATGATACCTATTCTAATTGATAAACACTACCCTCATGTTTCGTTTCATGCGCAACGGACGAAGCGAAGTGTCTTTTTTCGTCCACGAAAGAAAGGTAAGGAAATTGTCGTCTTCGCGACACCCTTCGGATTATTTAGTGGGGCATTGTGGGCCAAGGATATTTTTTCTTTTTCTTTACAACTGTCCCCAGGTACTGAGACGGCGCTGATATCCTAGGAGTTCTGTTAGTGCAAAATGCCAGGTTACTGACTTATGGCGAGGTTTGTCCACCCAAAAATATGGGAGATTTCTTGGATAACATACACACATAATACAGTGAATGGTATTGCAGTGGGCATCCAAAACGGTTGAACCAAACAAATATGGTATGATACCTAGAGGCTAGGCACACAAAAATCACTCAGGAATTGGACGCAAGTCCCGGGACCTTGGTGCGTCATTACACCCGGACATTGAATGTTTGCCGGCACACGGCTTTTGCTCCACCACTTCATACAAGTTTACGCACTCACTCAATTCGAAAGACTGGAACGAGACCAAACCGAATGTGACAACTAAGAGCGAGTTGTGCATTTGTTGGAACAACGTTCGGGCATTGCGAGAAGGATATCAGCAGGGTCCAACAATGGCAGCAACAGCACCAGGTGATGATGGAGTACCAAGGAGCTTGTATCATGCACATTACAGTGAGCAACAAGAGAAACTGTACTGTGGTACGTGAAATCAGAGCCTGGGCAGGATGATCGACACTGTACACTGTGCTACAGCGCCTCAATTGTGCGAGAGAAAACAAACAGACCAGCAAGCACAGATCATGAACTGGTACACAACATTGACAAAGCACAAACCGCACAGCAAAGTTACAGGGCATAGCCGAGCGTTTTGTTGCCAATTAATTGCTTGAGAAGGGAGCAGTATTCCTTGTAACATTGCATGGAGTAAACGAGAACGCAGAGTCAGAACCAGGCGTAACAAGGCAAGACGGCTACTGTACAGGGGCAGGCTTGACGATCACTTGCATACTCGCAATTTTGGTACAACCAGGAAATTAGGCATCACGTCATACCGAAGTGGCTTCAACACGCTACATTGCATTCATAGCTGTACGGTGAACCTGTTACACGAGCTTCTGTGAAACAGACAGCATGCCAATGACCTGCAAGCACCAACAAACGCAGCCGGTAAAACAAACGCTACATAACTGCCCAACATAAACTTGTACATGCTGATGAGAAGCAAGAATGTGCTTGATGTTGGAAGTTATGCTCGCATATTCAAAAACATGCATGGAAAAACATCAATGACATTGTTCACGAATACAACAGAAACATCATACAGGGAGAGTAAGTAATCCTTCCTCCGTTTTGTATACGCGCACGCGCGCGCGCGTGTGGTAGATAAATCCGTTTGGCATGACTTTCGATCGAGGTTGCGTTCACCGTAGAGATAGGTGAACTCGAAGCCAACACCTCTCACTTTCGCTCTACTGCCCCTTTGGGGCCGATGCGATCCTTGTGCTAAGTTGTGGTAGTGGCTCAACAGAACAGGACAGGTGTGTGTGTGTGTGCACACGCGCGCGTGCGCGCATGTGTGTGTGTGTGTGCGTGCGTGTGTGTGTATGCGTAAGTGTGGTTTCTGAACTTTTCTCACAATCGTATAAGTTTCAAATTGTCGTGAAAACCCAGCTACACTGTGACCGGTACAATCGCATGTCGTTTACTAGTATCTGGCGGTCAGTCACATGGCATGTCGGGTATCCAACAGCACCGCACTGACAGCTTATAGACCTTATATTTAGTATTTATAGTCCTACTTCAAGTAAATGTAGACAGTCAGCATCATGAAAGTTGCCATTACGTAGAGTTAAATACAAGCCAGTCTCTAGAGATGAGCACGGCTGTCTCAGGGTAATACTAGTGATAAATACAGGTACTTCGAAGTACTGTCTTTTTTATCTGTTAAGTTAACACAAGATGGCTTTGTAGCTTCAGTCGTCCAGAATATTCATTTTATTCCGCGGTTGCCGCATAATCACCACGCAACTGTACTTGTGCAAATCTCCAAACGCTACGTAATTGGCCGACATTTACTTGTCCACGGTGATGAGAAGCACGGCTCTCCTAATTTTTAAATCATGAAAGGATTACATATGCAGGTACATGCATACAATGTGCACTATCCTGAAGTCGTGCGCAAATATTCAAAATCATTCACCGAACACAGAGAGGCGCACATACCGTAAAGTACCGCGAGAGCGCCCCACCTTGATTTTGCTGCGACAGATTTATATAATACAGCCAGGGAAAGGAAAATCGTGTGGCAGAGTGCAACGAAGTTCGTACGGTGTGAGCAACTTAGTGTACTAAGGTCACACTAAGCAGGTTTTTGTGTGGAGCTCGTGTCCGCTCGAAGGCACAGATTGTCTGCAGAACGTGCAATATGTGTACAAAGTTCGTGTCGTATAACCTACAGACCGGAGACCACCCCCACAATACGACCCCGAAAGGACGAGATGGTGGGGCGCTCTGGCGGTACTTTACGGTACATGTAAATACGAAGGAACCACATGCGCAGCAAGGAGATTAGTCATTACTTTACTTATGAGTTGATGGATAGAAGTTTCCTTTCAGCTGACCATTACCACTCATGAAAGCAATAGTGAGTGCTGTTGTTCTGATTCACAGGTATATATTCGGCACTTAGCGCAATGTGTTTTCGAAGCTAGGCACACGATTTGCATGAGGAAATCATGCAAAGATGTGGCATAAGGCCCTACAAACATGACCTAGGTAAAGGGATGCTATTATTTGCATTTGCAGTACTTTGCCATAGGATAATTTGTGTATGATTGTGTTGATCAATTTCACATAATTTCACGACAGGTCATAGTTTATTTAGTGGGGTGTTGTGGGCCAAGGATCTACGACCATGTCTTTTGCATTTCGAACAAGTAGACACTTTCAACAATTCATACAAAAAATGCCTTCAGTGCAAAACATACCGTTCGGACACACCAGGCAGTCCTTTCCAGCCTTGATTTTCAAGTGCAGACGTATCCACGATGACCTTCGAGTGAACTGCGGCTTGGAACACTTTGAATACGAACCACACACTCAAACTAACTAGACCACCGCATAGCTAGTGTATTCACGGAGCCAAAGAAGTCTCCTTCTGCCCCCACAGGGTCTTGGTTAGTTCTCTAGAAGGGACGAGAGCCATACCTAAATTCAATAAATTCTCCAATTCCAAAAGCCTCAAATGAAGGCGTCTTGGTGACTTCGTTTCCCGCGGTTGCAAATAAAATCAGCCCTTGAGTACCCCTTGGCGCACGGACTGCCAGTAGCCAAATCAGTCAGTTTCACTGGTTACATCACCTTGCTGTGAGTAAGACGGCTTGAAATGTGCTTGGATCCATACAAAAACTGGATCCAAGTGGATCCAATTTTTGAATTTTTGAAATTGTTGCTATGCTGTGACGTAGCACTTTCAAGCCCTATAGGAATGCACACTAACTATAGCCATTGAAAAGGATCAGCTGCGGACCTGTACACACATCAAGGCAAGGTTGTTGGGTTAAATAAATGACCCGGGGTTATGTACTCTTGGTGAAAACCACGAACGTTGCCTTGATGTGTTGGGTGTGTAGCTGATATCAAGAGTACATAACCAAGAGTGTGCAACTGCCTGCACAACCTCTATGCTGTGCTGCGACGGCAGAACTTCACATCACGTGACATGGTTCAAAAGGTTATGCTGGCAAACAGTGCAAAGTGACCACAAGAGAGTTGTACCCAAAGCTGGGCTGCGTACAACCCAGTATCTATCATGCACTAGAGTGCACGGGTTCATCACGTGATGTGAAGTTCTGCCGTCGCAGACCCCATAGCTGGAGTTGCACACTCTTGGGTTATGTACTCTTGCTGATATTGATATACAGTCAGACCTCGCTTATCCGACCCCCTTTTATCCAGATCCCTCGCGATCTGGAAGGAAATCGTTGGTTACCGATTTAAAGCATAGTATATGTATTCGATTATCCGGTTCCCTCGCCTACCCGGATATTTTTGTGGAAAACGGATGTGTCCGGTCGACTTAAGCGAGGTGTGACTGTAATTACAATAAATTTATTATGTTCTCCACACAGAAAATAGTACACACTAGCAAGTGTCGAGTAGCGTTAGCGGCACACGTCTGTATATTTGCATGGTTGAGACTCGGCTGTAGTGTGAGTATGAAAGAGGGGATGAGAAACAGACACACGTTATCAAGGAGGGCCAAAGGGCAACGAGAAAAATAAGGAAAAACTAGCCAAATGAGGAGGAACGTGCACAAGCATGTTTATGAACTTCATATGGCAAAGAGGGTCTAAAAGCAGACATACATTGTATGGCGGCGCAAACGAAGCCTGGGGTGTGCGGCTGTTTTCCGTGCTCGAACAATTGTCGTTGGCACACGCAAATGAAACGTTATTGTTGACTAAGATGATCTCTTGTGAAAACGAGTACAGGGCAAAACGACAGAGATGTATGGTTTTAAATAACCATGGGGTGAGATGGAAGCAATAGTGGAGCAAGAATCAGGTACCTCGTCTATGAGGATAAATCGCTGTACGAAACAAAGATGAAGAAGAAAAGAAAGAGAACAACAAACATTAGTTCCCGATAAAGCTCAAAGAAGAGTTTATTTCGCTGCACTGAAGAACAGAGCAGTGATCACGAGAAGGAACTACTTCTTTCTCAGTTTTAGCCCAAAGGCGCACCATAAGCAATTACTATAATTTATCACACATGCATTTTTAATCAAGAGTACATAACCCCCCAGAGTGTGCAACGCCTCGTCCACCTCTGCATAGCGTCTTGGTCTAGCGTAATTGGATCTCCTGATGTCGTGCGTACACTCCACACCAGCGCAAGACCGGTCTTGAGGCAGGGCACCGTTATTTTTGATCCAAGAGTCGCCGCGACTCCCCGGGTTCCCCTCAGATGTGTACGGTATTCTGACGCAAAGATCCGATTACGCTCGACCAAGACCCTATGTAGAGCTTTATAGGCGATTCACACGACAGGCAAATCCACGTTTACAGGAAAGTCACCATGGAGATATTCCTGCGGGCGACCAAAATTTGCCCGCGGGAATCAAAAGTGTCCATGGCCTTTTTGCCCGCGGATGCACTCATCTGCGGGCACTTTTACAGTTACGAGGCTGTGAGGTCATACTACCGTACGGTAGTCTTGAACCCTGGTTGTTTGGCCTTTGTCTTTGGGTACTCATTCCAAATCACCACAGTAACGCCGTATACTCACTGGATACTCGCGGGAGCTCTGGCCGCCACCCGCCGCCGTGTGAACTGCAGCCTCACGTTTCACTTCCTGCGGGAACCTGACAAACGTGGATTTGCCTGTCGTGTGAATCGCCTATTATCAGGCGTTGCACACTCTGGGGGTTATGTACTCTTGATGTAATGCAAGAAGTGCTGTAGCGCTGGTCGATTCTCATCCAGCATTAGAAGTCTAAGTCGCAGGGGGAGCTACGGACAGAACTGTTTCGTCCTTTGTGGACTCATCAGCACAGCACAGAGAAAATGAGGCCGAACCTGATTATTATTATTATTATTATTATTATTATTATTATTATTTTAGAATTGCGATCAACAGAACGAGCTGAACCGACATTTCACAAAGGCTTTTATTGTATTCAAAAAAACGTTAGTACAACGTAGCTTCCTGAGGAGTGTTGTGCGAAAACTAGTTCGAAGTACAATTTTTTGTTCATCATTTCTTCCATATCACATTTTTTCTTTCTTCCATGTTCTTCACTGCCTTCGTATCCACTCGTCTTTTGAATACAATAAAAGCCTTAGTGAAATGTCGGTTCAGCTCGTTCTGTTGATCGCAATTCTAAAACTATTGTCGCCTCGACGCCTATTTATTATTATGTCTCCCTTATTCACTTCTTTCGAAAGCGATAAGCCAGACCCACCGGGAAATATTTCCATGGGTGGGACAGCAAAAAGAAAGTGAAAAAGTGAAAAAATAAAAAGCTAAAAACCAAAGGGACAAGAAATAGTTGAAGGAAGAGGAAGAAAGGAAAGAAACTCAATCCGAACTCCAACATCAAAACAATAATAAAGAATTTGCAGCGACAGGCAAAGTACATCAACCAATGAAGGGAGTAACAAAGGAAATATCAGTCTTTATCAGTCGTTATTCAAGTCTCTTAGCCATTGAACATGCAAACGCAGCAGAGGAGCATCTACATGTTAAGGATAGTTCTTAGTATTTTAATCGAACCTTGGATAGCCTCCTGTTGCACAATAGCCAGGTCTCCTCCCTGCACAGTCCGAAGGCATTGAGGAGTCTCCCCCACCAAGCCTCCCAGGGCACCGACAACCACAGGGACCACGTCAACTTGGGTGAGGGACCAAATCCTGGAAATCTCCCGCTTCAAATCATAATATTTCGAGCGCTTTTCAGCCATTTTCTTATTGATGTTGTTCTCACCAGGAACGCTGATGTCTATAATGTAGGCAATGCGCTCCTTATTATTATTTTTTTTTTATTTTTTATTTAGACTTTTCCCGTTTGTCTCTTTCCCTCAAACCAGTTAATTATTATTATTATTATTATTAACTGGTTTTGAGGGAAAGAGACAAACGGGAAAAGACTGAAGAAAAAATTGACTGTCACCACCAGGACTCGAACAAGGGACCCTCGCTTGTAGCCAGCGATGCTCTAACCACTGAGCTATGGTGTAGTCGTCATCCAAGCAGAGACCGTTCAACGTTTTCTTCAGACTTCGTAACTCACACTTCCTGTGAATCCACACAGGCGGGTGGGACGCAGCCCTCACTGTACCCACACACTTCCCGTACAAACTAGCACGCGGGGAGCCCCAAGTCATATTAACTGATTATTATTATTATTATTATTATTATTATTACCACCTTCCCTCATTCTAACACATTTTAGAATGTATATAAATCATTTATTTAGCATGGTTATTCTTCAGTCACGGCTTCCCACTGATGATTGTGACAAGAAAATCGATTTTGGTAAACCTACATGACTTTGTTGTAGTGTGGCGATGACAGCAGAATTTGTTCTCTTTATAGCTAGTATAAAATTATTATTATTATTATTATTGGGTTATTATGGGTTATTAAGGGTTATTATTAATTCAACATCTCCTGGCTCAAAATTCTTTGTGCCATCTTCAATAGGTCCGTCAAATACAGTAGTAGTAGGTTTTTTTCATTTTGACCCGACGAGAATTGCAACAATACAGTCGTGGAGTGTGGCTGGTGAACTGTTCGTGCTGTGATCTGCAAGCGTCGTATGGTCTCGTCGGGTCAAAATGAAAAACCTACTACTATCTCCTGGCTCGTCAGAAGACTGCCAATATATATATGAGAAGTCGGGTGATAGCCAACCACGGCGAACTGAATAATAAAGAGAGAAACAAAGAGAGTACTGCAAGGGAAGGCGTGACGAAAATGGTGAGATTATTTAGGACGAAGAAGCTGAAGCTTATAGCAATGAAAGATAAATTTTCCAAACCCAGATTTAAACGTGACCCGAACGTACCGTACTGTAATATAATACATGAGATGAATGACAGTTCCTACGTTATTTGAGATGAATGACAGTTCCTACGTTATTTCCAACATTTAAACACATGAGCAAAGCCTCTGCATCTCCTTGCAGAATTGCAACAATACAATCGTAGAGAGACTTGCAGACTCAGAATTTGCTTTTTTTGGCCGAAGGGGAGGGGGGGGGGGAGGCGGAAATTCTAGCACTCTAGCTTAGAATCCACGCAGCACAGAATAAGCTTTGGTCAATATTGTTAGTTAAGCAGGCAGTTATTATGTATCGCTGTGTGTCTGTTTTGTGCTTGTGTTATTCGCAAACGCAAAGCATATACATACGCACAAGTGTTCACATGCGTGCGTGTTCTTGTGTGTATGTGTGTGCGTGTGCGTGTGTGTGCGTGTGCGTGTGTGTGTGTGTGTGTGTGTGTGTGTGTGTGTGTGTGTGTGTGTGTGTGCGCGTGTGTGTGTGCGCGTGTGTGTGCGTATGTGCATATAATGTGTGGGGGGGGGGGGGGGTCCGTGCGTGTGTGTACAGATATGGACGCGTTATCAATACATTCACACGGCCAAAGAAATCCAAGCTCATCATGAATAGAATAGCGCGGGGCGCCGCGCATCCCTAGCACTACACACACACACATACACACACACACACACACACACACACACACACACACACACATACACACACACACACACACACACACACACACACACACACACACACACACACACACTGGTCTGTGCACTCGAACACGGCGCGCTACTTTAGGCAAGAGGTTGGATTTCACCGATCACAACTGCAGACTACTGTAATTTCACAACTGTTCGGTGTACTTGTATTTTCGGTGCTTTCCGTGCGTCTGTTTCAATCCTAAAATTCCAATACACCGAACAAACACTAACACACTTAATCCAATAGGGAACTGCTTCTCTGTACCTAACATTTCTGTTCACCTAACCTAGCCTTTTGCCCGCATACCGAAAACATTGAGCACCGATTGATTTTTACTATTGATTTTGATTTTGGATTGATTTACTTTTATTTCATTTTCATTTTCATTTTAACTTGCCATATTTTGCGTGTGCATTTTTGCCTTCTTGTTCTTTTTATTCCATGGCTGGTAGCCCTCATTCATTATATTGATTGACACCATGCCATCCATGAATTGAGAATAATAATAATAATAATTTCTGAAACTCGAGTATTGTGCATGGGACTTACTGCTGCAGATTACCACGCCTTTGTCTGGAGCGGGCTTGGCGAGCCAGTTGGTCGTCAGTCGTGGCGTGTACCTGAATGTACGGAACTCGCCGTTCAAGGGAGGCGTGGGAACTACGCTGGTGACAAACAAGGTAACGCCTACGTCGATCGCCCCGAAGAGGGTGTTCACCGCGGCGTTGACTGTACTGAACGCGGTGTACTCCTCCATCCGAAAGGGGAACGAGTAGGCGAATCGCGTCGGAAAGCCGCACGATTGTTTCGCCTGAGCCGGGTCCTCGTAGAGTATGGTCCCAGACCCCAGTTCATAGTGGACTGTGTAGTTTCTCGTTTGTCCACCCTCCTCCTTCGTTATCTGCACACCGACACGCGTATCTGAACAAGAGAAAAAGCACATCATGCAGATGTCTCCACGAGTACATACTGTCAATTGAGACATTGTCGCTAGAGATTAGATTTCGCTCTTTTTGCAATCATCACACATTCGAGCATATGAATCGCCGCAAACTGCTCCGTAAACCGATTGTAGACAGTATCAGATCCGACTGAATAGATTTAATCGCGAAAGTTTCTGAACGTGAACCAGCGCAATTCCTGAAAGCACAACATCATAGCACGCTGTGAAAGTTGATCGCTTTCTGGTCACAATTATGAACTAGGGCTATCCTTGGTTAATTGAGTGACCACATGACTGAAGCGTGGAAGGACATCAAAATTCGGTGTGTGTTAATTGTTAATGATCAAAATTCGGTGTGTGTCCGGCAGAAGTTCCTGGATTATGTCATGCGGTCGGCAGAACAATTTTATGTTGGGTCACTGGCTAGATGGATGCAAAGCGCTCCGTCTGCCCATATGGCGAGCAGACTGTGCCTTGCAGCTCTTGTGTACACTCGACAGAATCTTACCAGGAGAGTGATTCACAACTTGACAACATTTCATGTGGAAATCTTCACTCCCGCTCAGGACTCATCCCACCACGGCACCACGGCACCACCACCAGTACCACCACAATAAAGCTCAATACAGTTCTTTGAGTGCCACCAGCACCACCAGCACCACAACCGCTACAACCAGCACCAGCACCAGCACCAGCACCACCACCAGTACCAGAACCCCCATGTTATGTCCCCTTGCGGACTAACATTCCATTACGTTCATGCATTCTCACTGGCCATGGCACTCACAAACACTAGCATTTGGAAGACATTACTCTTGGTCAGGTAAAGCAACAACAACAATATGCGAGCATGCGCAATACAGTAGCAAACGGTGTAGTAGATATATTATGACTAACTTGCATACACAACACCCCAGTACCACCACTGAAACCACCGCCACTGTAATACAACTCACCGTGGCAGACATGACCAGTGAGGCTGATTGAACGACACAGCTTCTCATTACCACAAGGCTGGGTGCGCCCATGAGCCCAACACGAATCCAACTCTGTAGAGAAGTAGAAATTTAACATGATAATTAGCCCGTGAAACACCTATCATGTAGTTACCCAGGGCAACAACACCTATCATGTAGTTACCCAGGGCAACAACACCTATCATGTAGTTACCCAGGGCAACAACACCTATCATGTAGTTACCCAGGGCAACAACACCTATCATGTAGTTACCCAGGGCAACAACACCTATCATGTAGTTACCCAGGGCAACAACACCTATCATGTGGTTACCCAGGGCAACAACACCTATCATGTGGTTACCCAGGGCAACAACACCTATCATGTAGTTACCCAGGGCAACAACACCTATCATGTAGTTACCCAGGGCAACAACACCTATCATGTGGTTACCCAGGGCAACAACAAGGTCACAAAAAACAAGGTCGCACAAACAAGGTCACGGGGAGTGCATTACCTGGACTGATAAGCTGTGTGGATCAAGTCAGGCTTTCACTAGTTGATCTTGAAAGTCACAAGACGGGAAGTTTAAAATTTTGATTACTGCCATGAATCTATTCATGCCTGGAACCTCGCCGTTCGACGTCATGCCACGAGCCCTAGAGTCGGTTCAGAGTCCATTCGCCTTATTCTCACATGCGGTGATGTGTGCTGTGTATATACCGTATTTCCTTGAACAGCCGCCGCCGCGGCTTGTATTCAAAACTAGCAAAACGGGTGCGGCCCTGAAAAATAGTTGTATGTCACAATGTGCGTGCTGTATGCGTAGAGTTCACGTACGATGTGCACTGTTGAACCTGTCCTTTGTTGTCCAGCTACACTCTAGTGTAGACTAGTGCATCTTCTTTTCTTTTCCTGTTGCACTGGAAAGAATATCATGGCGAAGTGTAGTATCCCTGCCCGACCAATACGGAAGCAGTACGGAACTAATACGGAGCTTGCCTGATGTATATTTAGTGTATCTCCGTATGTAAGCGTACGTCGTCTGCTGCATAACAGCGGCTGCGCATTTCTGTTTTGATGAAGAGAAGATTAGATTAGATTGGATAGCAATGAAAGCTAAATCGAAGAAGAAGGATTCAGCCTCTAGGTGAGCACCGGAGAGAAAGTTATTTATTTTGCCTCTTCTTCTTTCACGAACAATTATATCTCAGGTGTGTACCTGAAAGTAGAATAAAAGTAATTATTGTTGATTTCACCGCGCCTACCACTCGGCTACCCATTACAGAAGGAGCTTGAGGCTCGACTAGCAAGTTAGTTGCATGTTCAGCAGCAGCAGTCCCTCATGCCGACGAGGATGAAGTAGAGGGGCTTCAAGAAGACGTCGACGCTGAAAATTTTGGATGCAATAATAAAAAAGGACGCGCAAGTTTTGTTCTCTCCCGTTTGATTTCTCTTTCTGCGTTCATTTCTTTCATAGCATCAGTGTCCACTTTCTCCTAGACAAGTTCTCCGATCTGAGTTCTTGGTTTTGTAGATTCGACAATCCTCAGTGCGTCTTAAGCTGTGTTCACAACTGGCGCGTGTACGCGTGAAACCACGCGTTTGTGCGTATTTTTGCTGGCTTTTGGGCGCCATGAGTACGGAAACGCGCCGAAATGGAACTTCCAACATGTTGGAATTCAGCGCGTATCAGGGCGCGTACCAGCGTACATGCCAGTCACCTTGACTGGCGGGGTCAAAAAATTAGTACTCGAAGGTGTCGCACGCGCTGAATACGACTCGGATTGCTGTTTTTTGTGAAAGCCTGAGCGCGCAATAGGGCACGCATGAACCGCAAGCGTACCGCGTACACGCGCCAGTTGTGAATACAGCTTTACATTTCATCGTTTACTTTGTTCGCGTCCCATTTTCTTTTTTGGTGGTCGATAAAATAACTCGTCTTGCTCTTCGTTATGTTGTGAGAGGTCATCATTATGGCGTGTTCGATTTATTCCCTTCTTTAGATCGCCTTTGAGTCCTTTGTCTGAACAGAGAGCAGAACTAGCTGCATGTGAAGGAGTATGACATCATAGCTGAAGGTCATCTCGTAGCTGTGAAATTGCGTTTAAATTATGAACTGCTCTGCACTTGTGTACGAATAGCCCTCAGTTCAAATAAACTGGCGGCGCTTATTCAAGGGCGGCTGGTAATCAAGGGGCGGCGGGTGTTCAAGGAAATACGGTACTGATGATATACTCACCATGGATATTTCTTACGTCATCATTATCGTATTGACGTCACACCATGCGCAAATCATTTTAGTATGTCTGCCTTTTTGTATTGTATTGTATTGACGCGTCTCCTTGTTCTATTCCGTTGACACATTTTCTTGTAAGTTGTGCTTGGTCTTCATGCAATCGATCATAGAATCAACCGAACTGAGACGCTACAACGTGAATAGCCAGGGGGCGCTTCGTGATTGTGTTCAACATCGATTCGTGGGCATAATCGAGCGCACTTAATGTGCTTGGTCAGATTCCTTTCATCTGTACTCCACCTGGTGGGAAGGCAATGCATATTCTAATGGAAGAGCTATGGACATGCAGAGCGCGAGATGCCTGAAGCTTGCTCTCGTGCTGTAAAACCCGGACAGTTTTTAACGACCAGAAAAGTTTAACGTCTTTGTAATTTTGGCAGGATTACGTGCAGAAAGTTTAACGATGGCTACCTGGCCACCGATCTGCATGCGCATCTTTACACAGGAATCTAGCAATAACGTTTTTTCTTCTTCAAAATAACGAAAAATAATTGGTCGTTAAAACTTTGCGACTCGTTAGACTTTCCGGTTTTACAGTACAGGTAGACTCCCTTTAATTCGAACCTCAAATTGCCAGGCCCTAACTTCGAATTATCCAGAACTTCTAATTATCCAAATGCAGCCCCATGCCCTGATATGTATGTCAAAATGCTTGAAATCGCATGCTGAATATTTTTTGCACATTTTTATTTGCATCAACGAAATATAGGTGGTCGTATACGCGTACCGGTCATGTACAACAGATCATCAAAACACTGGATCGACACAAAATCATTTTGACATTATCTTCATCTTCTAGTGAAGAAGTAACAGTCACTGCAGCTTTCCTGAAACAAAGGAAAAGAACTGCGCTGCCTAATCCGCGTCATGAAAGGCCGTCGGACAGCAGCACGTCGTTCTGAAGAACGGAAGTGGAGCATAGGCATAGACAATATTTACGACTATGGTGTTGTTGTGCGCCAACATCTTTTGCGCATGAGCTGGCGCGGCAAGAAAGGCCATCGAGATCTGCGAAGAGAGTCAACCACCTGGAAGAAGTCGTCTTCAATCAAACCTTTGCAATTTGCCTCGCACGGGCTTCAATCAAATTTCGAGAGAAGGTTGGTTTCTTGAACGCTATAGTCGATCCTGCAGCGGACCATTGATCGATTTTTGAGCTACTCTTGGCTAAAGAAGGAGAAAAGAATAAACTACGAATTACAAGGATAGCAACTCAATCTCACTTCGAAATGAGCGTTCAAAGGACATAGCCAATGTACTGTAAACAGCTCTTCTGTACGAAGACTGGGTTCGAATTATCCAACCGGCGCACTTTTCGTACTTCGAATTATGCATTCGATTTTGACTTGAAGTGACTTGCAGAAGATCGGTACGACGAAAAAGTTCGAATTACACGGAATGTTCGAATTATACCGTATTCGAATTAGAGGGAGTCTACCTGTAGTTGTATGGCTTGAAAACATTCAGCCAGGTTTCATGCATTCGGCCAGGTTACATGCATTCAGCCAGGTTTCATGCATTCAGCCAGGTTTCATGCATTCGGCAGCTTTCATGCATTCGGCCAGGTTACATGCATTCAGCCAGGTTTCATGCATTCGGCCAGGTTTCATGCATTCGGCCAGGTTTCATGCATTCGGCCAGGTTTCATGCATTCGGCCAGGTTTTGCAAGATAAGCAAGCGGCATAGCTGGTCCCCCTTTTAGGGGAGTGCACGGCTGCATATGTGTAGGATGGCTGGTGCATGTCATTCATGGTCATTATGTGCATGCTGAGCCTAGGTCGAAATTTTTAGGAGGGTGCACGCGCATTTCGCACACTGTGTGGATTGTTGAATTTTTTTAACAAATTACCTATAAAATACGAAATAGTGGTTGCGACTTCGGCGATGATTTTTTTAGGAATGGGTTTGCTCCCACACTGGAGCTCGCGCTATTCCGCCGACTTGACACTTGACTGACTCGCGACTGCCATCCAGAGCACACGAGAAGTCCATCGAACCTTCGACGCGGCAAACCTGCGGAATGGCGCGAGCTCCAGTGTGGGAGCAAACCCATTCCTAAAATTACCTATACCGAAGTTTAATACCGGAAATAAATCAATAATTTCTCTGGTTTTACGGTGGCCATTACTCACGGGGCCTGCTGCAAATAACCGCATGTCCTCCCTCCCCATCGTACTGCACTGTGTCCGTCTGTGGGTTGTACGCCTCGTGGTTGTCGTAGATGCCGACCTGCGAGATCCAAAAGTCGTCGTGTCCTTTATTGCGCAGAGTTTTCAGAATAGTGTTGCGGAAGCAACTATTGTCCTTGTTCAAAACACGCATGGAGTTGAAGGTGAGCATGTCCTTGCCGTGCTTTTTGCACAGGTTGTGGGCCGAATAGAAGCCATAGTGGTCGGCTGACACGAAGAAATCCTCTCCGCCGCAGGTGTGGCTCGAATCGGGAATAAACTCCCTGAGCACTTGAGCTGCAAATGTACAAAACAAACACGAGACAGTGCAAGCATCACCAAAAGCAGAGTTTTCTTTCGGAACCTGAACACACTTTTAAAGTGGTGTGGTGCTAAGGGTTGGAAAATATGCTATAGAAAGACAAACAAGAAATACCGGGATGTACTAATATGCCCGTAACCTGGGACAACGAACATAGTATTCAAAGGGGGGGGGGGGGAAGGTCTGCTCATCTATGAGTGGCGCCAAGAGTACATGACAACAGCTACACCATAGCTCGGCGGTTAGAGCATAGCAGTCCTCAAGTGAGGGTCCCTGGTTCGAGTCCTGGTGGTGACAGTCAATTTTTTCTTCTTCAAACTTTTCCCTTTCCATTCCCTCCACTACTGAATAAGTAATAACAAGAGTACATATTTAACCCCCAAGAGTACATATTTAACCCCCAGAGTGTGCAACGCCTGATAAAGCTCTGCATAGGGTCTTGGTCGAGCGTAATCGGATCTTTGCGTCATAATACCGTACACATCTGAGGGGAACCCGGGGAGTCGCGGGTACTCTCGGATCATAAACAATGGCGCCCTGCCTCGAGACCGGCCTTGCGCTTGTGCGGAGTGTACGCATGACATCAGAAGATCCGATTCCGCTCGACCAAGACCCTACGCAGAGCTGGATCAGGCGTTGCACACTCTGGGGGTTAAATATGTACACTTGGGGGGTTAAATATGTACTCTTGGGGGTTAAATATGTACTCTTGGTAATAATTGACAGCAGTGCACCGACCTTTTCGGGTGAAATCAAAGGTATTTTAAATCTGTGGCCTACCCTGCGGAGAATACGGTAGTTTCAATTGGAGACCACCATAAGCAAGAGTATAATTATAACCCCCAAGAGTGTGCAATTCCAGCTATGGGGTCTGCGATGGCAGAACTTCACATCAAAGCGACAAACCCGTGCACATTACCTGCACCCCCCCCCCCCCCCATCGATTGTGTGCACGGTGAGATACAGGGCTGTACGCAGTCCCTGCTTTAGGTTCAACTCGCGTTGCACTGTTTGCTGGCGTAACTATTGTGAACCATGTCACGTGATGTGAAGCCCTGCCATGGCAGCACTGTGTAGAGGTCGTACAGGCAGTTTCGCACTCTTGGGGGTTCTGTACTCTTGCTGAAAGCCATGGCAGACTTACTTGTGCGTATAACAAGACCATTGGCGGCGCGTGTTTAAAGTGTGGCGTACCCTGCGCCTTGATCCTTGAAGGGTGGTGGCGTTCCTGCGGACGCGGAAAACTCGGTTTCCAGCCAAGTCTCGCGCGAACTGTGTTTTTTTTTACCCTGCCGGAGATGCGATGGGTTTGTGCCGAGAACCCCGCAAGCTATATATAGGTTCTGCGGTTACACACTGCCATAGAGGAAGACAGTTGAGTGGCAAAGTGATATTTTATTGAGTTCTGAGTGGCAAAAGTGATATTTTATTGACTTCTGATTGGCAAAGTGATATTTTATTGACTTCTGAGTTGCATTGTTGACTTCTGAGTGGCAAAAGTGATATTTTATTGACTTCTAAGTGGCAAAGTGATTTTATTGACTTCTGAGTGGCAAACTGATAATTATTTTATTGACTTCTGAGTGACAAAAGTGATATTTTATTGACTTCTGAGCGGCTAATGTACAATGATGAGTCCTTCACGTAACCTCTATCGCAGACTTACTAGAGCATTTGACAAGACCATTGGTGGCCTCTGAGTTCCAGCCGCCGGTCCAATTGCCGCTCCTGCTGCTGCATGCGAACATAATGGTGGTAATCAGATGCCCCACCCCACCCCTACCCCGCAAGCTGTAGCAGACTCACTTGAGCATATGACAAGACCAGTGGTGGCGTCTGAGCCCGAGAAGGTCCAATTGCCGGTCTTGCGGCTGTAAGTGAAAGTGTCGTACGACTTGCCTTGGTGACCGTGGGTTAATATACTGACCTGGCTCACTCCGGTCATGTGCAGGAGCTTGCCAAAGGCCATCATGAATCTCGGATTGTGATGATACAGGACGGAGTTGAAGACTCCGTAGACCCCGAGTAACGGGGAAGGTTGGCGATCGCAGGCTGCCAGGGTGGCTTTCGGGGTGTCGTGGTACATCCAGCCGTGGAACGCGTGGAACCAGACGATCTCTGTGCGCTTCTTGCCGTTTTTCATAACTACGCCTTCCTCCTGAACGCTGGTCACTGTCGGGCAGAATCACGACAACATAGTGATTAGACTGGAGATATTTTACAATGCGTCTCTCAAGGATAGGTTTTCATTGTGTGTGTGTGTGTGTGTGTGTTTGTGTGTGTGTGTGTGTGTGTGTGTGTGTGTGTGTGTGTGTGTGTGTGTGTGTGTTTGTGCATGTGTTTGTGCATGTGTTTGTGCATGTGTGTGTGTGGGAAAAAGAAAAAAATAGGGATTCACTGGCCAGAAAAAGTCACTTCGATCAGCTGTGTGGTGGATACCAGGCTAAAAATAGTGGCGGTCAATTCATCAGCCTTGCAAGCTGTTGAATGGTCTAATCCCAGCACAAGTTGCTATGTCTAACATAGCTGTTCGCTATCATCGCTTCCGCGATGGGCAGGTCTGAGGTTTGAGGTGTGTGTGTGTGTGTGTATGTGTGTGTGTGTGTGTTTGTGGGCCCCTGCGGATACCTTGTGCCGAGTGTGGCCGTCTCTTCTCCAGGAGTGGTTTGCCTCGTCATAAATGCCTCGATGAGCGCCGCAAACCTGTATCAGGACAGAGAAGTAGCCGACAATGTTCTTCCTGCGAGCGCTGGTTCCGCAGTGCCGGAGGTTTGGCGGTCCACAAGTGCCCCAACTCCCGGATGCTCCCCGTGACATCGTCTCGGGCTCCGTGCCGGGCGGCGGTGTCTACCATTGCTGCTCAGGCGACTCCTCCGCCGCAGCGTGTGCGGCTCGCTCTCTCATGCTGCAAGGCCCACTGTGGGGCCTGTGGCCGATGCTGCCGCTCTACTCGTGGATTCCAAATCCATAGCTGCCGGAGATGGCTCTCTCGTCGTGCCGATTGAACATGGTCCCTGATCTCTCGGCAGACTGCCGACTTACTGCCGTCGAGCGTCGTTTTCCATGTTGTCGGCCCCGCGAGGGGACACGTGACCGTAAATGGCAGTGTTTACCAGGACCAGGACCAGGTGCGTGTGTGTGTGTGTGCGTGTATGCGTGTGTGCGTGTATGCGTGTGTGTGTGTGTGCTGTGTCCCATATGGTGCAGTGGTATGTGCAGCGATTTCCAATCGATAAGTTGCGGGTTCGATTCCCGACGATTATGGTCACACACGTCTTTTTTCTCTTTCTCAGACTCTTCCTGACTTTTCTTTCATTCTCCTGGGTGGTTACCAATAACCAGTGTATGCCGGAGTATGGGGTGTGGTGTGTGTGTGTAGAAAAAAATGGATAATGAAAAATAGGGATTCACTGGCCAGAAAAAGTCACTTCAAACAGCTGTGTGGTGGATAAAAATAGTGGCGGTCAATTCATCAGCCTTGCAAGCTGTTGAATGGTCTAATCCCAGCACAAGTTGCTATGTCTAACATAGCTGTTCGCTATCATCGCTTCCGCGATGGGCAGGTCTGAGGTTTGAGGTGTGTGTGTGTGTGCGTGTATTTGTGTGTGTGTGTGTGTGTGTGTGTGTGTGTGTGTGTGTGTGTGTGTGTGTGTGTGTGTGTGTGTGTGTGTGTGCGTGTGTGTGTGTGCGTGTGTGCCATGTCACGTGATGTGAAGCTTTGCCGTCACAGCACTGTATAGAGGTTGTGTGTGTGCAGGCAGTTGCACAATCTAGGGGGAGGGGGAGGTATGAACTCTTGGTGGTACCAAGCTAATACGCCCATTGCGCAATGACGTAATTTCCTACCGCGAACACCCCACACAGCAATCATGATCGTGCGGGGGTGTTGAATAGTGCATCCCTGGGAGTCCTAAAATACCGGTATTTTACGACTCCCTGGTGCATCCCTGATCCCAGCGCACTCACGTGCCAAACTCATGCAATCCATAGTTGGTCATGAAATCCAGATTTGGTCATGAAATCTATATTTGGTCATGAAATCCATATTATCAAGAGTGCATAAACAAGAGTATGCAACTGTGGTTATGGGTCAGTGCGCGGCGTGCTGCCTTCATTACGTAACTTGCCTTCATCACGGTCTGAAAGCATGCATTCAAACTCACAATTTCTCATACGAGCCCATCCGTTTTTGCTCGATTCGTTCCAGTACCTACGCGATCTCTGAATTCTGGCGCGTGAACTCCAGCTCCGTACGAAAGTTCATTTCAAACCAGAGGAAAAGTGCGGTGTTTGATTTTCCGCAGTGCGCGAACTGCAGCTGAATGATGTAATGAAGGCAGCGCGCCGCGCATCTGGCCCATAGAAAAGAGATCACAGTTGCATACTCTTGTTTATGGACTCTTGATATTATATGCACAATGGGATTTTTTACAGACTGGTCTCACATCTGTCACTTGGCCACACAGGACAGACATGTTGGTTCTAACCCCACTCATCCCCTGCATCTATGGGTCACATGACGTCGGTGGCCATGTTGGCTCCACTGTCCACGTGACATGGTCGCTTTCTACACAAATTTAGTCACATGACCAATATACGAAACCAGTGAAAAGTGTGACATCGTGACCCAGACTCTGTTCACCCGGTGTGTGTGTGTGTGTTGTTTCATGCCCAGCAGACGCGGGGGCGACGGGTCAGCAGGATCCGACTCACCATGACAACGGGCGACGCCAGTGGCATCAATGCGACATATCTCTCCACTGCCGCACAGCTCCTTGCCTGCCGCACATTTGTCCTCCCCTGCAAAAATGAAACCAAATAAGAACATAAGAAATAAGTAATCAGAATAATCTGATGGTGAGCCAAGGAAAATATTTTTCAGGAAACAAGGAAAGCCGGGGGACAAGTTACTTCTTAGTACTTCTAGTCAGTCTGGTGCCACCTTGTGACGTCTTAATGTTCAAATCTGGTTTAGTTGGTGGACCACATGTGCACCACCGTCTTCCTTGTTTTCATTTAATATTAAATAAGGGCATGTTCGATTGGTAAGGATCGGGATCTGGATCCAGATTTCAGATCCGTCGGATCCTTCAGATTCAACTGAGCACTTTATTTTGGACCTTGACTGTTGCCATGTTGACAATGGCGGTCACAAGTCACCCAAAAGGGTGAACGTCGTACTCATCGCGTGCGGCGTACAAAAGTCAACAAGCTGTATCTCCATCCACGTGTGCATACCACAATGTGTACCAGCACACGAAGCACAGAAGGCTTCAGTCAGAAGCCATATAATTTTTTCGACTAGGCCTTTCATTCCATTACTCTTCAGGTCGAATACAATGGTGATTAACAAGGTAGTAAGCAAGTCCTTATAACCGGCACTTTTGGCGGGCAGAGCATTGACAAAAATAGCACTTGAAAAATAGCTTATAAGTCCAAAAAATTATATGGCCGCTTCTGTGCTTCGTGTGCTGATTTGCTTTCTACCAACCAAAAATTTATTCACAATGTGTACAAAAATGATTTTTACCCGCCCTATAAAAAAAGGTCACATTTGGATACATTGGATCCGGTCAACCCTGCTCCCCAAGGTGGGCTGATCGGATCCAAATCCGAAGGATCTGGATTCGGATTCGACCAATCGAAAGGGTGCGAATCCAGTGGATCCGGTGGATCGGTATCCTACCAATCGAACATGCCCTACAAAGCTGTGTTCCCAACAGGCGCGTGGACGCGGTACGCTTGCGGTTCATGCTTGCTCAAACGCGAGCTCAAGCTTTCACAAAAAAAAACAGCTATCCCAGTCGTATTTAGCTCGTGCGGCACCTTCAAGCACTAATTTGTTGGACCCCGCCAGTCAAAGTGACTGGCATGTACGCTGATACGCGCCCTGATACGCGCTGAAAATTCCAACATGTTGGAATTTCCATTTTGGCGCGTTTCCGTACGCTTGGCGCCCCAAAAGCCAGCAAAATACGCACAAACGCGTGGTTTCACGCATACACGCGCCAGTTGTGAACACAGCTTCAGACTGGGAAAAAAAATGAAACTGAAGAAAAAGTTGAACGGTCTCTGCTAGGACGAAAGCTACGCCAGAGCTCAGTAGCTAGAGCATCGCTGGCCTCAAGCGAAGTACCCGGCTCGAGTCTTGGTGGTGACAGTCATTCCTATCTAAATATAAAGACATTTCCCTTTTGCATCTTCCCTCAAACCTGTGGATGATAAATAACAAGATGAGGAAATTAGTATTTCCCGTATACAGTGCCATTACACGGTCTGTTACCGGAGGCTCGGAAGGACCTTCCATAAAAAATAAAAAATAAAATACTGTTTAAAGGACCTATGGATACGAGTTATAACTCTCCATCACTGTAACTGGATACTATATCCATATGTCCTTTTCCTTTCTACATTTATTTATGGCTCAACAGCCGAGTTTCAAAATACTGCTTCTTTGTCTTATTACAGTACATTTCAAAATATAGACGCATGGTATTTTTGTAATATTTCAAATTTGGCTGGAGCTTTTCGAGAATTTGTTTCAGAATATTGCTCAGGTCCTTCCCTCAATTACTCTCATTATACCGTGGTAGATTTTTATGAAGGCGATCAGATAAGGGCAAATCCGTAAATATAGATATTTATTTAGAAACAAAAACTAATCGTTCAGGGGGAGGGAGTTGAGCGCCTGTTCGTTTCTCGAAAAATATTGAAGTACATTTTGCGTGTGTGAGCATGTCCAGAAAAAAGACCAAAAATATCGATACTTTGTACCATTTGTATGTGTTCGTTTCTCAGGGAGGGGGGGGGGGGGTTGAAGAGAAACGACTAGTTTTCGTTTCTAAATCAACATCAGTTTTAACTGAGAGCCCCTAACAAACACCTAATTTCGAAATAATTGTTATGCACAAAGTGATCACAGTTTTTATGTGCTATACTGTAAAAGCCATTATTCTAACGAGGCGCATATAATTATAACGATTCGCTAAAATTGACCAGTTTACGTGTATCAAAGGTAACGATTCTCACTCATTCTCAACGCTCGATAGCAACAATATGACTGATTGTATCGATTTCTGTCTAACGTTTTCTATTTTAACGACAGATTTCTCCTCGTTAATTCGTTAGAGTTAGCACTTCGTTATAATAATATTATAACGAAGTTATAATTATATATTATGGCTTTTACAGTAGATGCTGACAGTAGATCCTGACAGTAGATCCTGACAGTAGATCCTGACCTAACAGACCTAACAGGTTCTTTTAAATCACGCAAGTCTATATTTTCGAAGCGCACTGTGGAGAGTAAACGCTTCATGTTTTTCAATTTCGAACGTAAGATCTCACGGCAAAAATGGCGCGTCTCGCGTTGCAACGTGAGATTTAATAAACACGACAGAGGGCCAACTCACGGCGAAAAAGGCGATTTTACCCGAGTATTTTTTCTCGTTCGAAATTGGAAGAACGTGAAGCGTAAACGCTCTAGTAGACACCCTTAGCGAACAACGGCAAGGCTATTTTTACGGTACTCGTTCCTTGATCACCCAAAGAGCGTTGAATCTGCAGCGTAAAACATTATGGGGGCTGATTTATCGTTGTGACAAAAGGTGCGTTGTTGAGCCAAATGTTGTGTAGAGCGTACCCATTTCACCTTGTATCGCGTATATGGCGCCATAAACGGTTGCACCACGCGAAACTTACAGTTGGATGTGCAGATGTAGACATTGTGGGCATCTTCACCCTGCAAGGTGATCGAATCCAGGCCGGTGTTGATGTCTAATGAGTAGGCAAACTTCTGATCCAGTATGTTGTAGTCCGTCACCCAGATCTTGTAGCGGCCGTCAGTCTTGAAGACGGCAAGGACCTTTTCCTGGAAGCAGGAGTCGTTCTTCATCTGCGCCACCTGGTTGAAAGACATCACCCTCAGGTCGGCAGACTCACAGTCAGCCTCTGCTCGCCACCGGGGCCACGCCTTGATTCCGACGTGATACTTCTGCCCCTGACAATGGATACCGGAAATGTCGATGTGGTCGAAGCGTCGCTCGCCTGCACAAACATGTGCATGCACACACACACACATGTGCAAGTGTACGCACACACACGGGCACACATACCCCCCCCCCCCCCCCCACACACACACACACACACACATGCACACACAACATCAAGCAGCGGCCCGAGCATTCTCACACGACTACGCCGCAAACGCATTCTTCCACTCCCTATGTCCATCTGGTGTGTTCCCGGCGTGGGGAGCGGGATCGCATGAGGTATGCTGAGCCTATGAGGAACCTTCTGCAATGCATGTACAGGATGTTCACGCATCCAAACTCAACTGCTCCAATAGGACCAACGGGAGAACTTTCAGATTCGAAATAGAACAAAGGCAGGTGCGCTGGCCCTTAAGATTGTTATTCAAGCACGTTTCCATTGTGAATGCAATTCATCCATCGTCATAACAGGTGTATCAAGAGCACATAGCATAACCCCATCTCCAAGAATGTACAACTCGACTCTCGGTGCTATCCCGGCAGGATTTCAAGTCGACGTCATGTTTATAATGCAATGCGCACTGTACACGGATTTTCAGGCGTATCGTGAGCCTGCGGTGAACAAAGCCCCACCGGGTACTATACTAACTAGTGCAAAGAAAACTTGTGATGTGTTGGCACCCCGTGCAAATGTCGTAAATCACCGATACAAGGAGCATTGCATTATAAAAAATGATGTCAACTTGAAATTCAGTCGACGTGAGGTGAACGCTGTGGACCCATTGCGCAATGATGTAATTTGCACCATAAACACCCTTCACAGCCATCTGGGCATGGTCGTCTGGGGTGTTGAACAGTGCATTGCTGATCCCAGCATTCTCAGAAGCATTACCCATACATTCCATATTTGGCAGTGCACAAAGTGCAGGTGTCGAGCGTCTTACGTGTGCAGATGGCTACGCCGACCTTTGCGTCGTAGTTGACCTTGTTCGTCCAGGCGCCCTTGGTCTTGTCGAAGTAGAACGTGCGATACTCGGTGTGCTGCTCGTCGGGGTTGCGCACGAACGTGGTGACGCGGTTGGTGCCGGCAACCAGCAGCATCTGCTTGACAACGCTGCGCACCGCCGGGTAGGTCAGGTACAGGGCCATGTTGAACGGGCCGGCGTTGGTGTAGGCCGGGTCCGAGGGACAGCCCCTCAGCACCTCGCTGGCCGAGGCCAGGTACAGGTTGGAGTCGTCCATGTACTCGTACACCACCTCCGTGTGCACGCCTCGGCCATGCACGCTCTGAGTGATGTTCGTTTGCCACTTGGTGGCTACAGGAAGTAGCATAGAAGAGGGCCAAGAAGAACATCAAATTAAAAACAATTATACCGTAAAATCCCGCCAGAGCGCTCCGCCCCGTCTCTCCTATCCGCCCCTCCCGGACTTCTTGTCAGGGACGTGATTGATTGTATCCTCGTATGACTCTGTCACAGTCTGTGATGCCGTACTGTACTGCAGACGCGTGCTCGACCCCGTTGGAAATGTACGCAACAGTGCCCACCCTCTTGACCAGGGATCACACAAAACCTGAGTTTTGACGGGTCTGTACGACTCCTGGCTCTTGACCTTTGGTTGGTGTACGAGATGCACGAACAGTTTTCGTACAGCGAGTACTTTTTCATGTACGTGTAGCACTGAATGAGGCAATTAGGACTCACCCATCCGCCCCTCCCCACCTGAAGCGTCGAGGAGGTAGGGGCGCTCTGGCGGGATTTTACGGTATTACCCTGGATGGTGAGCCAATTAAATTATGCCATTTTTCTATTACCTTTTGTGTAATGGTGAGCCAAGGAAAATATTAAATGGAAACCAGGAAAACGGTGGGGTAAAACGTTATGCGTTAGTTTTAGGCTTGATGGCACTTACCTTCCCCTCTTTGGAATTATCACTAGTATCCATGAACCTTCCAAGTTGGAAGGCCGTTGGTTTGCGCTATCGAGCAGTGTTCCAGCTTGCATCCATGCAGGGAATGTCACAGTGCTCCTTGTCAGTCGAATGCTACCTTGTGAACGTGTGACTGTTCAAAATCTAGTTTAGCTGGTGACAAAATATGTGCCCCACCGTTCTCTATGTTTTAATACCGTGTTAAAGCAATGACCTTATATTCGAAATACCGCTGCTTTCCTAGCCATTTTGGATGCAAAATGACTCACTCACTACGCCATGCCATAGAAGTCAAAGTTCACACAGAGATTTCAAGCTAAATCCACTCGTTCACCATCCTGCAGGGCTGCAAGTTTGTTAATATAGCACTTATTCCTTGGTTTTTACAAAACATACTTCAAATGTCATTTCATTTTGAAGCCCATGGCTTTATAACTGAGACTGGCTTTGTAATCGAATATATGTCCATGGCTTTAAAGGTGCGGACATACATTATTACCTTTAAGGTGCCCTATAAAGTTTGGCGCCTGGTTTCTCCGCCTAAAATACCGAAAATAAAGTGATACGGAAATAATATGCTGTACCATAGGTGAGAAGACGACAGGCAATATTTGCATCGTCCGTGGCAGGTTGGATATTCTATAAACTAATTTCGGGCATGCTGGCTTTCCAACCAGCCATTTGCCGCTGGGAATATGCTACGGAGCATTGCTATTCAGAGATCAGCTGGTATGCGTTGAAGTGAAGACAACCATTCACCTTTATAATAATGAACACAGCTCGCATCTTCCCTGAACCTGTTCGACAGGAGCAGGGTCGACGCATCTGTCAATAGTGCCGGGCCAAACCGTTTAATAATAGTCTATCTAGAACAGAAGAAATCACATGGAAAATGTTAAATAGTTTATCTCCCGTTTTATTCTGCCAATTAAAGATAAACCAACCAATCGACTGACTTACGCAAGCACACATGAGTATCCAGTTTTGGCGTCCTGCAGACTGTTCCCTCCGGACATGTGCTCGTTAGGCAACGGTCCAACGCTGCAAGATAAAACGGAAAGAACAGCTATCGTGTGTTTCTTCAAGCTAGACAAGTTGTACAGTAGAGTGGCGCGTCCAGGAACGATGTTCCCTTGGAACGTTCTTATTACTTTTTTCAGCAATATGGCTGCATTGTCCTTAATAGCACGTTCTTAAAATAATCCATACTGGATCTTTACTGGATCGATATGTATCCAAAATGCTGGACGTTCTTGGGCTCCACGTTCTTCGCCGGCGCGGGACTCTACTGTACCCGTATGCCTGAACCTTTCCCACTAAAACACACCCGCGCGTGTGGCGATCAATAGGCTGACCGGCATGTAACGCCGAGGTTCCGGATATTAGACAGGGACATGAGCGCATATGTTCAGCCCACCACTATGCACACTCTACGGTCTCTAGGGGTCGTTCATAAATACAATGTATCGAAGTTTTTTCACACAACGAAATAATTTCGTTATAGGGTGGGAGGGGGTTGAGCAATTTCGTTTCAGAAAACATTGATACATGTACATGGCCATAGGAGCAGTGACACACTTGTACCAGTTTTGTTGTATAATTACGCATGTATATGTCAACTTTTCTTGCGTTGTGAGAGGGGGTGAGGGAGGGGGGGGGGGGTCTAAACTAAAATAACTCGTCTGATGACAATAGTTCGTTATCTACGGACACGATTCTAAACTGAATACACAAACGCAAGCCTGGCAGGAAAAGTATGGCAATTGTTGATACAAACGATATCGATACAGCGAGCCTCACACTCAGTACAAACACCATACTAAAAGCAAAGCACCAGTGCCGTGGAGTACCGCCAGAGCGCCAAGTCTTGTCGGAGCGCCTCACCTTGATTTTACAGCCAGGGAAAGTAAAACCGTACGGCAGAGTGCAACGAAGTTTGTACGGCGTGAAAACCTTCCTATACTTAGGGCATAGTCAGCAGATGTATGTGTGGAGCTCGTGTCCGCTTGAAGGTAAAATTGAGTATGGATTGACTGCACAACGTGTAATGTGTGTACAAGGTCCGTGTCGTATGACCTACAGGCAGGAGATCACCTCCACAATACGACCACGAAAGGACGAGACGGTGGGACGCTCTGGCGGTACTTTGCGGTACATTCGTACTACTACGTATTGTGTTGAGCCCCCTCGACTGGTTAAACAGAACCTCTTTGTGCTAAGAATACAGCACAGCTGTAGACAGTCAAAATAGTAGGGGGGGGGGGGAGGAGGGGAAACCGTTACTAGTACCCCGCGACCCATTTTTCCATCTTCCTAAATCGTCCCGCCATGCAAAATGCAACATACTTGGCGAATCCCCGACTCTACCCCAGACGAGTGTGCATTTATAAACCCTCTCTTAGTGACTAGCGACTGCAGCACTTCACCAGGCGCTGCATACCAATTATGTATACGCGGTGACTCAGCAGTGCATAGACCGTTGTACATGAACATAAGAGTGACCTAGGCTCGGAGGCTGATCCCCCTCCCCGTCCCCTGCCCAGCTCTTTGGCACCCAACAGTGTCGTCCAATGCCACCACTGCATGTCTTTCGCTAATATCTCCTTCTCATATCAAGTCGGAAACTTTATAAATTGCTGATGTGGTCACGCAAATCAGAGCTCAACACCACTTACATTGCGGGACACACACGGTTGGTAATGCCTGGGTGTAATTTCCCTTGTAGACCGTGTCCTGCTTCAAGTCGAAGTAGGTGTTGGCAAAATAGCGTCCGTAGCGACGCACCCAAAGCGTATGGACAGAGTCCTTGCTCAGCGACTTGACGATTGACTGGGAAAGGCAATGATCGCCGTTCTCCTTAAAGGCGTGAACGTTGTTGAACGTGATCATCTCCAGACCATGGTTCTGACAGAAGAGGGTGGCCTGAACACTCAGCCTCTCTTGGGTCGCCACGATAATGGTCACACCATCACAGGTATAGTTGTAGTCTAGCAAATGCAATGAAGAACACAGCATCTGACAGTTAGTATACAGTCGTCCCTCTATTAGCCAGCACCCTCTATTAACCAGCACCCTCTATTAACCAGCACCCTCTGTTAACCAGCACCCTCTGTTAACCAGCACCCTCTGTTAACCAGCACCCTCTATTAACCAGCACCCTCTATTAACCAGCACCCTCTGTTAACCAGCACCCTCTATTAACCAGCACCCTCTATTAACCAGCACCCTCTGTTAACCAGCACCCTCTGTTAACCAGCACCCTCTATTAACCAGCACCCTCTATTAACCAGCACCCTCTGTTAACCAGCACCCTCTGTTAACCAGCACCCTCTATTAACCAGCACCCTCTATTAACCAGCACCCTCTGTTAACCAGCACCCTCTGTTAACCAGCACCCTCTATAAACCAGCACCCTCTATTAACCAGCACCCTCTATTAACCAGCACCCTCTATTAACCAGCACCCTCTATTAACCAGCACCCTCTATTAACCAGCACCCTCTATTAACCAGCACGGTATTCAGCAGCCAAAATGTCGTATTCATGCCCGCTGCCACAATAAATCAGATTTGTTAACCCAGCACCCTCCCCAATGCAGCAGAATTTCCGTGGCACAATTATGATGGGGCCACTGTAGTATTAGGGACGTTTAGCAATGCGAAAATTCGAACTTTTGGTGGCGGCGATATTTCGCGAAAATCTATTTCGAAAAAGAAAACTTGTGAGGTTTAGCAATGCGAAACGACTTTTTCTCGAAGCTATTTGAATCTTATAGTACCGTACCGTATATGCAGCTCACTCTCAAGCAGGGGGCTGTAAAATTACTACTCCCTGTAGTGAAAGTGTGCCGAGAAAAGAGAAAGTTACTTTTGCAAATCACTGCAACTTCGCGTCCAAGTTTTCGAAGTTTCGACCTTTGTTTCTGTACTCATTTCCAGACTCGAATTTTCTTTCGAACTTTCGCGTTGCTAAACGTCCTTGTTAGTAGCTGAATTTATTCCCGTAGCTATGCAAAAGACGTTGCTTTAGTAACGTCTGGCGCTAGCCAAGGTCCGCACAGCTTTAATTCGGTGTTCGTGCCCGACAACGTCGGCATGCCTGGCGCTATCCCGTGCACGTCCCGTGCCGTACTATCAAAGACAGCTGGCCACAATATTCAAGTAGGGCTTTCAGCTGCAAGATCATAACGTGAAGCAACTTGAAAGAATGAGAGAGGAGATCCGTAGCTTTCCAAAGAGACCAAGATGGAGATATTCTAAATCTGGTGAGTGAAATACTGAAATTAGATAATTTTGAAATGCGTGCTGGGACTGTCGCGCGATCGATTGTGCAAATCTGCGCGAACCCGGTAGTAATCCATGGATGCCATGGTAGGGCTCAAAGGGTTAATTCTGCCAAAACCAGGTTTTCAAAAGCCAGCGGGGATATTTCAGATGATGAAAACCAAGGTGCGATGCATACATGTTCATGATTGTACACCAATTGCTCTACAATGTGCTAAGGGAAAAGTCAGCTTGAACAATACTTAGTACGTTTAGGATTGGGTTTACATTAGCGTTTATTAGCTAAGGATATCTGCAGTTAAAGTTGCGCTCACTAAAATCCGACCCTGAGTGCATATTTGCCACCCTCAACTAGCACGCCCTTGACACCCTGCAAGTGGCATGAATGCGGCTGGACGAACACATGTACAATCATGTACAAGTACAGTGCTATTGTTAGATTGACAGTATGAAACGATAACAAGGTTTATCTGATGCTAGTTTTGAACTAGTAATAGGTTATATAATAAGTACCGTGACAGTGTAATAAGTAGAGTGATGTAGTCGGTATTGCTACAGGGCGCTAGCTTTGCACTTCGGGTTGGATTTCACGGAGCGCGACCGTTCTACATGCATATGATTCTCGGTATGTACTGTGTATGTATTGTATATTGCACATATAGAAATAGGGCTTGAAAGTGCTACGTCACAGCTTAGCAACAATTTCAAAAATTCAAAAATTGGATCCACTTGGATCCAGTTTTTGTATGGATCCAAGCACATTTCAAGCCGTCTTACTCACAGCATGGTGATGTAACCAGTGAAACTGACTGATCTGGCTACTGGGGGCTGGGTGACAACAGCTACCGGTGGCGAAGTAAAAGTCACCCCTAGGGGACATGTGTGGGTTGCTATGCACCCACATACTGAGGCAATAGCAAAGTCACACCTTAGTGGATCCAAAATAGAAATCTGATGGCAACTTACTACTCCCTGGCCGCTTTTGATGTCATCACTTTCAAGCCCTATTGTACTTTCAGCAAGATGATACAGTTAGATTTCGACCAACTCTCACCTCCAGCTGCGTTCACTGTCCCGCACACTAGGAACAGCCCCAGCACGGCTGACAACAGCAGCCTCATCCTCCAGCCGGCTTGTAGGTAAGGGTTGCCACCTGCGCAAGAAGCGTGATAACAGCACCAGACAATGACAATCAACCCATCTGCCACGAGCCAGTGCTCGTGCAGTCAGCAAGATCCACCCTTCCTTACACCGCTCTAATACTTCGGAGGTCTTCGTCGACTATTCGACAACTCCGAGTATCGCACCTTGCGAAGCTCCGGGGAGAGATGCAATTATTTCGAAGAACGGATACGTGTGGCCGTGTTAGGTAAGGGCAGCGAGATGAAGCAGGAGAAGAAGTGCGTGGAATGAATCTCTGCGTCCCTATCTGCCTCACTATGAGCCGTTTCAATTGAAGTCTTGAATTGAAACGCACCATGGCGTACATGTTGCAGACGTTGCTTTGGGGAATTTGGTTGGAACGCGTCAAACCCTTGCACCGGTGTCGTACCGTACGTTACCACAAGCATTCAACACCGATTACGTGCTGCATGCACTGCATGCATATGCAGGTCAATGTTCATCCCCTGGAAATGTTGCAACAACAAAAACAAAAACAAAACAAAAAGGTTCGCGACACCAGCTTGCCATGTTTTCGGCAGGCCAGTGAAGCGAAGTTCAAAGTTCTCATGATCAGGCGATAGAGCCACATGTAGAGCCAGGGCTAGGGAGTAGTACAACTGGATAGAGCTTGGTTTTGATATGAGCGCGTGGAGACGTGACAAGAGGACATCGACAGGGCTTGTAGGCTATGAAGTATGAACTCTTTGGTGGCACGTGGAGAGAGCGGGCATCTTCTTGCACTTGTAGAGTACCAGGTTCGCGAATCCGTACGACACACGTGGGTCATACCAGGGGCAGGGCGCCAGGTACTACCAGGTGCAGGGCACTTGCTTGCTGTTCTGGGTGCAGCGAATTTGTACGTCGCCTTGGGCAGTTGGGCTGGGGGAATTGGGCGCTAGCCCTGCGGTCGCACTGCCACATTTTTCAGCAGTACGGGGATCGCCAATTCGCCACGAGCTATGGATCTGTTTGCCGTCAACTGTCACTCCTACCCGAAAGTACACAAAATTAATGTTACATACATGTACTTTCATACTGTAGTATCAAGAGTTATGTACTCTTGGTAGTATGCAGTCCAAGGTCTGGAAAGAGTAATGTAATTCGCAGTTTGTTGTTATACCCAATGTTGTTGTTCCTCACCAGGTTGACGAGGTACACAAGTCAGCGATGGGAAAAGACTACTTTTGTTTGTTGTTTCTCAGATGGTGAGCCAAGGGGAAATTGTAACATGGAAACATGTGGGCACAATATTTGTAGGTCTGACTGTTCAAATCTGGTTTAGTTGGTGGACTCGATCGCATAACTTGTGCCCACAATTTCCATGTTACAAATTGTTTTTGAATCGGTTACAGGAGAGGAGCGATAAAAAGCAAGTGCTTGTATTTGTGTTGTTGTTGACTTCATTTAAGGTGGAGTTTCAAAACAGGCTTTTAAAAAAAGCCTGGTCCCACTTTGTAACAAGGCGAAGATGAAGGTGCTCACGGTGCCTGGATATGAGGCGAGACGATGATTTGCCAGCAGAGTATGAAGTCTAGTGGGAAATGTATGGTGTGTTTGGGTGTTGTGTGCGTGTGTGTGTGTGTGTGTGTGTGTGCGTGTTTGAGGGCGCGCGTGTGTGTGTGTGTGTGTGTGTGTGGCTTTTGGCTTTGTGTAGACCAGGCTGAATAGTGGCGGTCAATTCTTCAGCCTTGCAACCTGTTTAATGGTGCAATGCCAGCACAAGTCGCTACGGTTTCTGCTTTAGCATCACTATCATCGCCTCCTGCGATGGGCGTCAAATGGTATGTGTGTATGTGCGTGTATGTGTGGCGTGTGTGTGTGTGTGTGGTTTGCGTTTTGTTGCTGTTGGTGCTCGTGGTGCTGGTGTGTGTGTGTGTGCGTGTGTGTGTGCGCGCGCTTGTGTGTAATGTATGTTTGTACTCTGTCTGATTTCATCATGCATGCATGAACATCCCCCAACGTCCTTCACAGCTGGCACTTTCAGCTCGTGTTTATCTTGGTTGCGCTCACCTTTCCCTCCTTGTGATTTAATTTTGTACAACTTAGAACCGTCCAAGTTGGAAGGCTGTTGGAGTGCGCATCCAAGATGTGCTAGAGCTGTTAGCCAGTTAGTTGTAGAACGTCAGTACCATCGGTCAGTGTCGCGCAATGTTATCGCACGAGCTGAATGAGCTGATTATTTAGTATCTGATGGTTTTAGCGGACAGTATAACGTACTTTGTAGTTCCTTGGTCCTTTCTCTTTTGATTAAATTAATCTTTGGCTCTCCATCCGAGTGCATATTTGAGTAGGCGCAGATATGTTTAGCATTATAAGTTAGCACATAATTGATTCACAATGCCGGGCCAAGCTTCCCTGTCTTGAGAAATAGCTTCCGCTTCGGCAATGGAAACGTTTATTGTCTTTGAGTCATTCTTGATGGCAACAGGCTTGACACGTGACATCTCCGCAAACTACGATCCATCATTGGCGTAGTGTATACCCAAAAAAATTCGAATAAACACCCATACAGTACAAGCTGTGCAATCAATTACCGGTTACCACCACCATATGCAGGGAACGGCGCTTGTTATGGTTCGGCCACCTGTAATCAGAGAAGGCAGTGACTCAACTAAAACATCCTACAAAGCTCTAAGACTTTCCAATCGGCACCAAAGACAATCATCAAGAGGCAAAGGGGACGCCCCGTAACCAGATGGATCGACAACATCAAGAACGACTAAAAAAGAGTGAGTGCAAGCTCATGGAGAATGCTGATTGGCCGTAGTACAGACAACTCTCACGTGACATGCAATAAACATGCACGCCACATGCACTCGAAATGACCCCGAGTACGTGCATGTATGCCTTGGAGATGGGCTGCGTCCTGAATACAGTCACCAGCCACCTGCAAGATGCTGCCTTTCTTTATTAACTTAATACTAATAATAACTTTATTAGGATGACCGAAAGGCTGACGGCCTATCGTGGGGTCGGCAATGAAGGATGATGGTACAAAAGAATACAGATTGGGAAAGGGAGGGAGGGGGGGGGGGGGGGGGCGGGCTACGATGAACAGGGTAACGGCATGCCAGCGAGTAGACATGAATACTTACCTGAGGAATGTCTGCGCAGCTCTTTCTTTACAAACCATTCGAGGCTGCTGTTGCAGAACTATGAAGACTAGTTGAACTTGTGAATATGACATACCGATATCGGCCAGTCAGAAGTAGCGACAGACTCGGCCATTTGAAAACAATCTTAACCGTCCACCTCTCCACACTGCACTCTTGGCCCACATTCACAACACCACTCCATAGCGAGGAAGTTCGTTCTTGGGTAGATGTTTCATATCCTCCAGACGGCTGTTTCGCTCATTAACCTTAAGAGCTCTTCAGTGGAGGTAGATAACGAATGAACAGCAGATAAAGCAATGAGTATAATTATAGGGTAAAGTGGCGCAATTGCGCACTTTCTACATAGAGAAGTGGCACACCCAAAGAAGTTGAAGGTGACAAAGTTCTAAAGGTGATAATGAAACGCACAGTGCTGCTGGAGCATGCATACAGATGGGGCTAGAATTTAGACAAGCGCGTGAAGCAGACAATCTATTAGAAGTTCGCACTAACGTTGCCACACATACATGCGTAATGAATCGATTAATGATAGATTGAAGTATTATTGCTGTCCCATAGTGACGCGACGACGAGGTGAGAGAAACGGAAGGCCAGACGACGCGACAGTCCCAGAGGCCCGTGGGGTATTCACTGCACTGTCCGCCCGCCGTGTGAGGTTCCTCCGCTGCCACTCCTGCCGTTGACGACAAAGTTGTTGTTGTAGGCGGACACGTAGCCAGTGGTAGTGCCTCTCTGGAGGTTAGCGGCTGATACGCACCACCACTGTAGTGCACTGGCTACGTGTCCGCCTACAACAATAAATTAATTTATTTGTCGTCAACTGCAGGAGTGGCAGCGGAGGAACCTCACAGTCACACGGCGGGCGGGCAGTGCAGTGAATGCCCCACGGCCACGGGCCGCTACGGCTCTAGGACTGTCGCGTCGTCTGGCCTTCCGTTTCTCTCACCTGGTCGTCACGTCACTATGGGACCGTTACTTCAATCTATCAGTATGCATGTACTGAAGTATGTGTGGCAACGTTGGTGCGCACTTCTAATAGATTGTCTGCTTCACGCGCTTGTCTAAATTCTATCGCCATCTGTATGCATGCTCCAGCAGCACTGTGCGTTTCATTATCACCTTTAGAACTTTGTCACCTTCAACTTCTTTGGGTGTGCCACTTCTCTATGTAGAAAGTGCGCAATTGCGCCACTTTAGTGACTTTACCCTATAAATACTCATTGCTTTATCTGCTATTCATTCGTTAGCTACAGCGAGCGAAACAGCTGTCTGGAGGATATGGAACATCTACCCAAGAACGAACTTCCTCACTATGGAGTCGTGTTGTGAATGTGGGCCAAGAGTGCAGTGTGGAGATGTGGACGATTAAGATATCGGTAAGTATACTGAATTTTGTTCCCGGTGCCGAAAGGCGGGCTCGCCACCCATGTATGGCAACTTCCCCATGCCTATTATTAAACCCCCAAGACGAAGTGAATACTGTAGTAGCCATATTGGTCGAAGTTAAAAAAAAGTTTAATATTGCAATTTCGCAGGATGTTCCTTGTGGCAGGTCCGAGTAAGTCAACGAGAATGCTGCCAGGTCAGCCGTGACTCCAGAGCTTCCCCGCTCACACAAGGGCCAGTGAAACGATCGTCGCTACTCCCGAGTTTCCTTGCTCTGCCGCTGCAGGTCCCATAGCGCAGATAATTAACGAGTCCTTGAGTACTGGAATGGTGCCAGACGTGTACAAATTGGCTACAGTGTGTCCTGTCCACAAGTCAGGGGACAAATCTGAAGCGTCGAATTACCGCCCTGTTTCACTTTTGCCGATTGTTTCTAAGATCCTTGGGAAGGTAGTACATCGGCAAATGATTAGATTCCTTCAAGATCACGCTGAGCTTCGTATTCTCCCAGACGAGCAATTCGCCTACCGCAGAGGGCACTCCTGTGAGGATGCGTTAACTCTCGCAGTAAACCGCTGGATGATGAGTGTGGACAAGGGCGAGTATTGCGGGGTTGTACTCGTGGACATGAGCAAGGCCTTCGATCGGGTACGCCATGAACTACTACTTAACGAGCTTCAAGCTATTGGCATAAGCGGAGTAGCACTACAGTGGTTCTCCAGCTATCTCCAGGGTCGACGACAACAGGTGAAAATTGGAAATAAGAGAGGAGACGAGACACATTGTACACGAGGCATTCCGCAAGGGTCGGTGCTAGGGCCTCTGTTATTCTCTTTGTACGTGCGACATGTCCCTGGAGTACTTCGCCACGCAGAGTCCCAACAGTATGCTGACGATATCGCCTTTTATATACACTGTCAGTCTACTGGAGAACTTCAGCACAAGTTGACAAGTGAGTTGAACAGACTAAATACGTACCTTGGAAGCATTGGTCTCATCTTGAATGCCCAGAAAACGAAGTTCATGGTGCTTCGGAAGAAGGCTCTGCCTCTTCCGCCGGATCTTACCATTGCATGCGGTGGTGTCGATATTCGACCTTCTGCCACAGCGCGTTATCTTGGCCTCATTATTGACCAACACCTCACCTTTGAGGATCAAGTCAACCATGTATGTACATCTGTTTATAAGAAGATAGGAGCATTCCGCCGCTGCCGCCGTACAGTAGACCACACAACTAAGCGAATATTTTATTTATCCCTCATCCAATCCACTATTGAATACGCCAGCAACTCGTATGCTCACTGTCTTACACCATCTTTATACTCTCGCCTTGTTACTTTAAGTCATATCAGCATGAAACAGGTTTTTGGTCTCCCTCGCCGTACCCCGACTGTCTTTGTTTTGCGGCACGCTAAGTTATACTCCCTCGAATCTCGTCTCAACTTGAGGCTTTTTATTTTTGTTTTCCGCTGTATTCATCAGCTTACAAGTCCTCTTCTTTCCTCAATGTTCACCCTCCAGTCAGCTGCTACTTGCACCGAGAGGCGCACTAGAGGGCAATCATTCTCTTCACTTTCTTTGCCCGCTGCTACCACTAGATATGGCATGTTCTCCATTTCTTTCCTTGGCGCTGATAGGTGGAATTCTCTGCCTGTCTCGTGTCGTCAGGTTGAGCATCTATCCGTTTTTGTTTCGCTCTGTAAGGAGCACTTAGGGTTTCCTGTAACAAGACGGCAACGTCTGTAGGGCCTTCCCTATCAAAATAATAAATTCTACTACTACTACTACTACTCTACGCAATCATTAGGAGACAGATTCTGAAAGAAAAAGCTTGCACATGGTATAATACTATTATAAACCTTGTTTTGTTGAACCATGTTGTTGGTTGACAACATAGAACAAGGTGGAGACAATGACCTTACTACTACCATCCACGGTTGGTAGAGCCCTGGTCGGTTGTGACTATCTGAATCGTATGGGTGTTAGACCAGGCTCTGACCCGCTCTATTCGAGTGAGTTGTCTTAGTTCTCTTGCTGTTGTAGCGCTGTAGCGTCAGTCGTGTATTCGTTGTTCGCGACCGGGGCTCTGCCAACCGCGGATGGTTGCAGTAAGGTCACGGTTTCCGAACATAGTGGTCTCCGCCTTGTTACATGCTGTCAACCGACAACATGTTTCAACAAAACAATGGTTTATCTAGTACCATGTGCAAGCTTGTATCAAGAGTGTATACTGTATAAGCTCCCAGCCTGACCTCAAGAGTGTATACTGTATAAGCTCCCAGCCTGACCTCAAGAGTGTATTATAGCAATAAAAACTGCTTTATGGCAGTTTTCTAAAAAAAGTTATTGTGTTCTAGTCCATGGACCCCGTCCAAAAAGTAAGAAATTACCGAAATGTGATAGCTGGAAATTAAAATTTCACCCAAAACCTCACAATTATCACAACACTTGAAATGCTGCTTTCAACTTTAACTTGTACTGCACCAACAATTGGCAACATGCATGCATAGGAAAGAGGATCACGAGGGGAAAAGGTCTTCTACATGTAGCTTTTAATTCTGTGTGTGATTATTGTGAGGTTTTGTGTGAAATTTTAATTTCCAGCTATCACATTTCGGTAATTTCTTACTTTTTGGACGGGGTCCATGGACTAGAACACAATAACTTTTTTTAGAAAACTGCCATAAAGCAGTTTTTATTGCTATAATTTCTTTTGTTTTTCTGTCACCAATCAATGGAATGCCCTATATCAAGAGTACATAACCCCGGGGTTATGTACTCTTGCCTGTATCAATAATTATGTAAATGATGGCCTTCACATCATATCAAGAGGTTTATGCACTCTTGATCATATCAATACCGTATTATACGCATTGATGTGCAAGCCTTTTCTGGCAGAAAATGGCACTAGCATGATAATGCATGTTCTCCTGCGGGGGAACATGTGAGTAGTGGTGGTTATACTTTTTTATACGGAGTTCACTCTGTGCATGTTGCTGTTGCAGAATTTCATGACTCTGTCATAAATTTGTCTTATTATTATTTACTTTTATTTTACTAGGCTGCGCCTTGATCCTTGAAGGGTGGTGGCGTTCCTACGGATGCGGAAAGCCCGGCTTCCAGCCGAGTCTCACGCGAACCGTGAATTTTTTTTTTTTACTAGGGTGTTTCCCACAGATCTATGGTCTTCTTACGGGAGCCCCTAGGAAGGTTATGCATGAGTCGTGCCTTTCAGATATTTCAGATTTCCCCACCCTCGATCAGATTTGTTTGAGAAATGTAGCCATGCGCCAGGTGCGTGTCGCAGATGTTTTTGTTGATTCTGTGTTTATATTGGTTTATAATCATGGGTTATCGTGATAAGGTCATCCACCATCATATTGCACTGAAATCGTAATCCTGTTGATGTCGATACAACTTTTGGAAGTAGTTCAATGACTTCAAACTGTTAGTCCACGATTTTCTAAAACAACACAGCAAAGGAGGAACAATAAACATGTATTAAAATGTAAACAAATACATTGCTGAGTCCGACACCTCGTTCCAACAACTACACTGATCCTGAGGATAAAAGGGTCAAGGCTATGGTTGGAGGTACTGATACTGAGAGATAAACAAGGCACTCCATGATAATAAAATCTTACACATCTTTTGGTGAGTATGAATGATATCCAGTCGAACCTCTTTAGGACGAACACCAAGGGACCGATGGTATTTATTCTGTGAGTTTGTCTTAACCTATTTTATAACCAGTGAATACAATTATTTCTCAAATAGACATACGAATACATTCTACAGCGAAAGATTCTAAGCCACACCGACTCATTGACTCGTCTCGTATCAAACAAAAGAGTCACTAGAGAGGTTCTGCAAAACGAAAATGCGTACAAACTTTCCCTCTACATCAGGAGGTGCGAAACTTCGCACGAACTTTCGCAACTTTGGAAGCGAAACTTGCAGGGAACACGAAATGAACTGTCGTAGGAAATTTCGTGAGATCGGGTCATGGCGTACGTGCACATGGCCCGCGCAAACTACGAAAATGTGCAGAACGCAAAGTTCGTGCAAAAATTCGTACACACTTTCGCAAGGACTGTCGCGAAACTTCGTTCGAATTTTCGTTTTGCAGAACCTCTCTACTGAACCTTTCTTTAGGCCGTCATCACACCACGTTCTCCGACTCCCGTTTACGTCTACGTCTATGGTGAAAAAACCAAAACGGGTGGTCGTGTCATCAGACAGGCACAGTTCTTGACGCGTACACACACTGTGTGACACAGTCAGGTTTTTGGAGAAATTTGAACCCACGTACATCGAAGTACAGGGTCGCTCGGAAAAAGGCTGGGGGAGATACGCACGTTCATACAAAAAGTCGTATACCCCCCCCTCTCCATACCACGTCCACGTCTCCCGTTTCCTCTGCTCCCGTTTTCACCCCGTATACGGATCATCATGACAACCGACCAAAAACTCCTAACGTGGACGTAGACGCAGCGCTTTGTACCATGGTGTGATGACAGCCTTAGCAACATGACAGCAACTGAAACAGCAACAGAGAAAGTACGATACACGGACTGCACATTCTTGCAGGTACTACAGGTACTACAAACAGATTGCAGATCGTAATTCTTGCATTAGCGGCACGAAACTTTATTTGGGGCAGTGCAATCTCGGCGGTACTCACAAATCAAACAGCCCAGACTCGAGTAAACAAAGGCAATCATACAAGTACGAGATTTTCACGAGACTGCACCCGTTGGCTCGTTTCGTATGAAGCAAACAAGTTACTGAACCTCTCCACAATGGAGATTTTCCTTGATATGCGAATTTATTTGGCAAACTCGGTCAATGAGTCCTTGAACCTTTCCCTCCAGATTAGGAACTGCCAACGATAGTATGCCACTGACCAGTGCCTTACTTGTAACGTACTAATGTGCAATGGATATGAGTATTTCGACAACACATCTAACATAAGCCTTACCGTCAAGAAGGTGAACTCGCGTTCTTCGCACACTGTAGGCAAGGGCAAAGAGATAAAAATGGATCTAAATCCGAATAAAATCAGCACACGTTTCCGTAAATGAAAGGGTGAGCATAAGCAAATGAATCGAAGGAAACTGGTCAACTCAGAGATCACCTGTCATTGAGTATTCCGTAAAAGGAGGCCTCAGCAGCGGAAAAGCTAAATTTGGAAAGGAGATCCTGTCAGCTTTTCCATTATTTATTTCATTCCGCCCAAAATCAGCACACTTTTCGTAAATGAAAGAGTCGACACAAGCAAATGAATCAAAGTGAACTGGTCAACTCACCTGTCATTGAGTAATATTCCGCGAAAGGAGGTCTCAGCAGCGCCGAAACGAAATAAGCCAGGCCAGGAGACGAAATATCCGAAACAGCTCATGCAAGAAGCAGTTCCAAAGAAGGAAGTTCGTCGTGCATGCACATCCGAAAAGGCAACAACAAAAAGTCTGCAATGCACACGCATGCGGCCAGCCGGCCGCGCGATGGTCTGATGGTAGGAGCAAGAGTACATAACCAGTCAACCCCCCGTACTCTTGGTAGGAGCCATGGAGTAGCTCCCTGGTCCAGGACCAGGTACCGAGCATCTTACGTAGAAACTTACGTAGCTACGTAGACAACGTGTCTGAATAGCGGTGTCGTTAGGTAGCGCCATGTGAACACAATAATAGAAAAGCTGACAGGATCGCTTTTCTAAATACTGTATAAGCTCCCAGCCTGACCTCAAGAGTGTATACTGTATAAGCTCCCAGCCTGACCTTATTCACTCTTGCTTCTATGTACACGTACAGTGCTTGGTGTCGCTGTAGCCACTAGCCAGTCAGTGTTGTAATCTCTACAGTACATGTGCAGTGTGCATGTAATTCTGTTGCCATTACTGCTTGTACCTGTGCGCAGACAGTGTAGCACTTCTTCTATCTACATGACATTGTACTTAGCGTTTTGTCCGCTTCACATCTGTCGAATGAGAGGTGCTACTGGAGCCCCCCCCCCCCCCCCCCCCCACACACACACACTTGTGTTTGCTCACTGCCAAAATTGGTCACGTGTGTCTCCCCAGGAGAGGGTAGAGAGACTCAAAAGGACTCTTGAAGGATGGCTATGGCTAATGAACCGTCCAACTGCCGACACACCCTGAAATCCTCCAACATCTGGGTGCACTTGTAAATGATCCCACTTATGGGCTCACCACACCTCAGTAAGTGGGTGAGGCCAAGGCGCAGAAAACGGATTGACGGTGTCAGGGAATCCGTCCCGGGGTCCAACTGCAGTTACCCTGCCCCGGTGAAGGTAATGCTTGCTACTTTTTTTTCTCTTCAGACTCTTCCCGTTTGCTTTTTGAAATCTTTCCCTCAAGCCATTGAACATTATCATCAGTGTCGTCACCATGGAAACAGCCTCTTGTACGGGCAAGCAACCACACAAGCATCGATATTCAATAGAGAGAAGTAGAGAGCACAAAGTTGAACTCGGGATGAAGAAAGAAACCTAAATAGACACGAGCCAAAAAGAAAGCCCAAACAAACAAAAATATAAAACAAAAAGAACCAACGTTAAGAACAACAACTTCAAGACACCTACATGTATACAATACTGTACCAGTAACCATAGTAACGAACGTACTCTAGGGGTGCGACAGCTTGTTAGCAAACTGTGGTCCCATTGCTGTTGCGAACCACGCATACACCAACGAAGCAAACACAGCAAATCATTATTAGTATCATCATCGCCATCATCATAATATATTATTATTATTATTATTATTATTATTATTATTATTATTATTATCATAAAAAAATCATGCTGTCCGCAGATTGAGTCATAAAAAAATCATAAAACCATCGTCATAAGCAAAAGCGCTGACACATGAAAGCCGCAAAGGCAGAAATCGCCGTAACCCTAAAGTCATCAATAGCGACAAAGTCCTGGCAAAGCGAAGCTCAACAACAGCGTTGGAAGGAAGTTGTTTTTCAGCACTCCGACGAACAAAAGAAAACGAAAATCACACCATGCATTTCATGCTAAGGTCGTCAGGATCTCCATTATCATTTTCATCATCATCATCGTGGTCATACTCACCATTATCATCCTCTACGTGGGATTCAACTTTCACTGCAAACAACAACAAAAACAGAGTCAAACAAATCCCGCGCATGGAGAACACACAACAGAAGACTCTGGATTATAAGGCTTGGGAGAATGAGGTTGAAGACTCCACTGCAGCTTTACTTAATGTGTTGATTAACTTAACATGGTGGTAAATACGATTTACACCCAAAACAGCGCAACCTTATGCGCCGCGTGTTCATAGTGGCCTCCCCCAGTACAGCGCATCATCCCCCCCCCCCCCCCCCCCCCAGTACAGCGCGACCTAATGTGACACTGTGTCACCACAGCTAACTTAGTCTCATCACGTTAGCCCAACCAATTACGTTAGGCATTTGCCCTGATCATGCCTCATGCGTGTTTCACAGCACAGTACGTTTCTGCTCATTTTCTTCTTCAACACACGCTAGCTGTATTACTTGCTGTATTGCCCGTACAAGTGGATGTTACGTGTGTTACACGGTACGAGGAAAAAACCCAATTACGTTAGCGTCCAAATATAAGCTAGCTCATTACACATGTAACCCATAATGTGTTGGCCCACGTTATTATTGCCATGGCGGATATCAACAACAGCGTGGGCAGCAGCGAAGACACAACGAGCAGAGAGATGAGCAGTGAAGATACAAGTGAAGACGATCTCGAGACGAGTGAGTACGAGGCGGAGGACATTGACGAAGCCAGCGGGGAAAGGGAGGACCCCGGACAGGACCTTGAACACAACCACGAAGAGAGCAATGACGGAGTCAGCTTTAACGACACCGGGTCCGGTGAAAGCAAGGACCCCTGACAGGACCTTGAACACAAAAACGAAGAGAGCAATGACGAAGACGCGGCTTCGGCAATTCTGACCGTGACGCAGAAAGGAGGCTATGGTGCTACTCACCAAGGTTACTCATATAGGAAGGACAAGAAGAAAGCAGATGGCAGGATTACTTGGCGATGTACCAGGCCAGCATGTGGTGGGCGTCTGACAACAGCTGGAAGTATACTCGAAGATGAAGAGCACAACCCTGCAGCAGTAACCACAGAGCGCAACCATCCGCCAATTCCCGAGCAGGTAGAAGTGAGGAGAGCTGTGAATAGCATGAAGCGTCGCTGTTGCTGCACAGGTGTAAGAACTACATACGACGAGGAGTCCACCAACCTGCCAGCACCTGTTTCCGCTCATTTGCCATCATTTAACTCTCTGGATTCCACTCTGTATAAATGTCGAAGAGAGCGATACCCTGCACTGCCTCGAATGCATGCAGAAATCGCTATTCCCGCTTTTTTTCTGCCAAACGCAAGAAGGTCACGGCTTCTTCTTGGCATCCATCGGCCATGAGAATAACACTCTTGTGTTCGTATCCCCTCCTGATCTGGAGAAACTATGGAATAGTCAATCCTGTTTCATGGCCGGAACATTCAAAGTCGCCCCTGCTCTGTACACACAACTTACGACCATCCATACAATGATTTCAGGGAAGTGCCTGCTGATGGTTTACGCTCTGATGTAGCGAAAAACATGCCAGGCATACGTCAATCTCTTCAACCTACTTGTATCTGGACTTGTTAATGTCCAAGCCATCTCGTGACTCTGCCCACAATTTGCTCCAGGCAATATCGCCGTTTTTTCATACTGGCATTTTTTGGGTCGATCATTGCATTTTTTTAGTTGATCATTGCTTTCTAGAGTTAAATAGATGATACGCCAAATAAAGTGCAACTAGACTTGGGAGGGCATTGCAGAGTAGTTGCATACAAAGTTCAAAGTTGTGCGGGTACCTGTGACTTGTATTCCTGCAGAGCTCAGGGTCTACCGTGTACACATTGTAGTATAATGTGTATGCAACTTGTGTGCGATGCCCTCTCAAGTCTAGTTGCACGTTGATCATGATTTGAGTCTTTGACAAGTCGAGTGTCCATCTTTTGGGTTTGAGTGCAAATGAATTCGACCTGTATTGAGTGTGCGCGCTGGCGGGGTGGTCTGTTTTGGGTATGTTCAGTTATGGGGATGAGGCTTTTTGGGGGAGGGGGGGGGGGGGGGGGCTAAAGTCAACCGCTCTGTTTTGGGTCGCGCTCATGTGGGTGCATACCGGTAAATACATACCCGGCAATATGGCGGTAAATACCTGCCCACACACGCTCTCTAGGCTGCAAAGTTACTCCTCATTCTCCGAAGCCAATCTCCGTGTGAAGACATCCAAGAAGATTGCCTAATGAATCCAGCAGGGACGAAACGTGAGTCGCAATCGAGCTATGTCATTGCTGCGTCATCTGCTATGTGCCATGCGCTACCTGATGTACCAGCCTGGCATGTCGGAGACCACTAACCATGCATCGACTAGGCGCCAGACGCGAACTGATGGTGGTCACAGTGGTGGTGAGATGGAGAGCTCTGTGCCAGAATAACTTTGCAGCGTAGAGAGCGTGTGTGCGGAGGCGTGTATTTACCGCCATATTGCCGGGTATGTATTTACCGCCATGTTAATCAAAACAGAGAGGTTCCAGGCTGTCCAATAGAGTACGCAATACCGAAAGGCAGAGCTAGTTCCAGCAAGAATAAGAAGATTTAATAAGTGCTGTAACTCCGAGTTTCACTAAGCGATCAACAGAAAACATATCAGGCCTGCAGCCGGAACCGGTTCGGTTGGTCAGGTTAATACCGGACCAACTTTTCGGCCACCAACACGTGTTTCCTACTGTGGAGGGCAGGTGTACCCGCCATATGCACAAAAGTATGAAATAAAATCTTGTAGGACGCATCACGCAGCTTCATCAGTAAAAAATTGGTTGTGAGCAACACTGGCTCACACTCAAATCACTGCTTTTCACCAGAAAAATATTATATTTCAATGTTTCGGTCATGAAATAACCATCATCAGGAAACCTGATGATCCTGATGATGGTTATTTCATGACCGAAACGTTGAAATATAATATTTTTCTGGTGAAAAGCAGTGATTTGAGTGTGAGCCAGTGTTGCTCACAACCAATTTTTTTAAAGTATGAAAGGCCATGATACTACGGGACCAATCAAAAACTGCTCCCGGCGCGCGGCGGTCCTGTATGTGCATGTGCAACCATCGAGGCACTGGAGACACAGTACTACTGAAAAACAGCTAATTTTAGCAACGGTGATATTTTAGCGACTTTAGCGAAAGGAGTGTTTTCGCTAAAGTTTTGCCGCACCAATCGGAAATTTTACATGTACAGTACAGTGCAAGTCATCCTTCTTTTTAAAGTCTGAGAAACTCGGATCGTTAAAAATATTTCACCGTGACCAGATTTGGAAAACCCTAAAAATTTTACCCGCGAAAATTAGCCATTAAAATGAGCCATTCTACAGTAGGGAGGCAAAACGCAATTCGTGCCCCAAGCATATCGGTGGACGAAGTCAGCTTGTCTCCAAAAGATATACCTTAAAATCCCGCCAGAGCGCCCCTACCTCCTCGACGCTTCAGGTGGGGAGGGGCGGATGGGCGAGTCCTACTTGCTCTGGGTTTGTGCGATCCCTGGTCAAGAGGGCGGGCACTGTTGCGTACATTTCCAACGGGGTCGAGCAAGCGTCTGCAGTACAGTACGGCATCACAGACTGTGACAGAGTCACACGAGGATACAATCAATCACATCCCTGACAAGAAGTCAGGGAGGGGCGGATGGGAGAGACGGGGCGCTCTGGCGGGATTTTACGGTATTCTCAACGAACACAAATTTATGGTGAGTGTAAGAGGAACAGAAACTTGAGACTGTGTTTTTTCCTTGTACAGGTCCATCCTCGTTATTTGACAACCCCAGGGGTTTTAAATTGTTCGTCTTCTGACGAGTATCACCTACTATCCAGACTTGAATCTACGCATTTCAGGCCTCGGGGGGATTTTGGATCGTTGTCTGCCCATGAGTTTTGTCTTGTAATCGATGTCGTACTTACAAGTGTAGACCTGTACTAGGTTGGGTGGTATAATATCAAGAGTAGATAAACAAGAGTGTGAAACTCTGGATCTCTCCTGCACAATCTGCAGATACCCCGGCCCACGGCGGAATTTTTTGTTGCCGTCACCTTTCTTTCAGAAAAAAACGTACATTTTGCCGCAGAGCAGTGTGAGAGCAGGTCCTGGGCACTGACCTTGCAATGTAAAGCCCGGCCAAGTGCACAAGGCAAAACTTTCCAAAAGACTCATAGTCTGTACTCTACTACTGAGAGGGGGAGGGGAAGGGGGGGGGGGGATTCTCCGGGACACTAATGCTAAACATCATAGGGAGTGGAGATGTGCAGGGCACACTTACCACAATTAAATTTTTCTGGAGCGCGTCGGTTGCGGCATTGGAGTCCTGCCGTGCAATTGTGTGATCCCAGCTCGCATTCATTTATATCTGTGGAGAAAAGGTGATGCAAAGAAAACAATATGAACCACTTCAAACTCTCTATCTATCATGGTAGACAGGCGAGTAGCTCGTGTGCAGTCAGCATACAGTACTGTTGAGCGCCAAAGAACGGAGCGCCAAAGAACGGAGCGCCGAAGAACGGAGCGCCGAAGAACGACCAGGCTAGAATTTCCCCAAGCACAGCATACCAATGTATACACGGTGACTCAACTGTGCATAAACTGTAGTACATGAAAATAAGAACGGTCTGGCTAGGAGGCTGCCCCCCCCCCCCCCCCCCCCCCCCCGTTTTCGGCAACCTACAGTGCTGTAGTGTGATCACCACAGCAGCAAATGCCGGCGAGTGCCCCGTATG